GCTCCGCTCGCCTGCCGCGCGCTCCCCGCACCGGTCCTCTGGCCGTGCCGGCCGGGCAGTCGCGTCGCCGCCGCGCCCTTCCAAACTCTGATGCTCCAGCCCCCTCACCACCCTGTCCTGCGCCCCCCGGCCCCTCCTCGCGCCTGCCACTCTCCCCGCCAGAGCCAGAGGGGCTGCCCCCGGCCCGCCGCCCGCGAGGCCTCCACTGCCCCTCTTCTCAGACCCAGGACTTGCCCTTGCCACCCTGCGCGGGCTGGTCGTGGTGCCACTTCTGCCTTTCCCCGCAGGCGGACCATGGACGGCTCCTTCGTGCAGCACAGCGTGAGGGTCCTGCAGGAGCTCAACAAGCAGCGGGAGAAGGGCCAGTACTGCGACGCCACCCTGGACGTGGGGGGCCTGGTGTTCAAGGCACACTGGAGCGTCCTCGCCTGCTGCAGCCACTTCTTCCAGAGCCTCTATGGGGATGGCTCTGGGGGCAGCGTTGTGCTCCCAGCCATCTTTGCTGAGATCTTTGGCCTCCTGTTGGACTTTTTCTACACTGGTCACCTGGCCCTCACCTCGGGAAACCGGGATCAGGTGCTGCTGGCGGCCAGGGAATTACGAGTGCCAGAGGCGGTGGAGCTGTGCCAGAGCTTCAAGCCCAAAGCCTCAATGGGACAGGTGCCGAGTGGTCAGGGGAAAGCTGGCCCCCGGGATGTGATTAGCCATGTCAAGGAACCTGCAAGCTCCGGGGAAGAGGAAGTTTCAAGGACTCTGGGTCAAGTCCCCAAGGATCGGGACCTCAGTGGCGGTCACAGCCCTCAGGGACCTCCGCTTGGCCTCCCTCCTCAGAGTGAGGGCCCTTCCTTTCTCCGTGGGAAGCTCAAGCAGGCCTTGAAGCTTTGTCCCCCAGAGGACAAGGAGCCTGAGGACTGCAAGGTACCCGCGAGGCCCTTTGAGGCTGACGGTGCCCAGCTGCAGGGCGGGACTAATGAGGTACTGTGCCCGGGCACTGGAAGTGGGAAGGCAGGCGGCGGGGGAGAAGCGGGCTCGCCGGGCCCCAAGGCAGAAGCTCAGCTAGATGGTTGGGAACAGGTTTTCTCCAAACGAAGGCCGCTCTGGCCTGCAGCCTCCGCTGACCTCTCCAAGCCATAGCTGTCCGGTTTGCCCCTTCTTGGGGCCCAGCGGGTGGCTTCGGGGTTAGAGGTGTTTCCCCGGGTGGTGGCAGCTGCCACACTTCTGGGTCCCGCAAAGAGAGCCGCCGCTCTCCAATCCCAGGTTCAGGCCCTGCCCACTCCAGGCCCCCGAAGGGCCCTCATCTGGGCAAGCCCGGGCTGGGCCCAGGCCGGGCCCCTGCTGATGCCGCCTGCCTTCTGCCTTTCCGCTCCAGTGGGAAGTGGTGGTTCAAGTCGAGGACGACGGCGACGGGGACTACGGTTCTGAGACTGAGGCCGTCCCAGGCGGGAGGAAATCAAACGTAGTAAGGCAGCCGAGTGCTGCCGAGCCAGCCCCGCGCGCAGGGTCCCTCGCAGCCGAGCCCGCTGAGAGCAGAAAAGGTACAGCGGTGCCGGTCGAGTGCCCCACATGTCATAAAAAGTTCCTCAGCAAATATTACCTAAAAGTCCACAACAGGTAAACCTTCTGTTTTTTACTCCTTTCCGTCTGCATTCGCACACTGGGGGAGGGGACCGGCCTGTCCAGCCCGGGGTTTGCGGGCTGGGGCAGATCTGAGACCCACGCTGCTGTGGGGCGCTCTGAGGTAGGGCCTGAGGCCCCGATGGGGTCCCCGCTTCCTCCCCTTCTCCAGCTGGAGGGGCTGTGCGCTGCTTGCCGGCCTCTGCGCACCTTGGCCTCCTCGCTCGCTCGCTCGCTCCAGAGAAGCCCGGGCCGCACAGGGCCGAGCCCCGCGCCCCGCGTTTCTCTAGCCGGCAGTGGCGCCTTCTGGCCGAGGTCGATCTTCAGGCCGGCGCTGCCTGTTTCTGGGGAGACTTTAGCTCCAGGCTCACCACGGCCCGATGAGGCGGCCAGTGCCTTGTGAAGCGAGAGAAGCCAGTTAGTTCCTCAGCTGCGTCGGCCACGTTGCGTGAGCTCGGCAGCCGGCAGCAGACAGCATTCCCTGTCGCCGGGCACCCAGGACGTCCCTAGTCCCAAGCGCACGCCAGGTTGGGCCGGTTCTCAGGAAGGTGCTCTGGGGGCCTTGGCCGCCGCGTGCTCCCGCCCTGGGCAGTGGAGTCTGGGAGGGCCCGGGGAGGGGGGCGGGGCTGCCGTGGCCTGGCTGATCCCCCGGGTGAGGCTCGGAGCTGGGGTCCCCACGCCTACCTGGGCAGGCTGCGGTCGGGCCCTTGGGCGGGGGAGGGTGGTTGAGACCGGCCAAGCAGATGGGGCCAGGGAGAGCTGGGGCAGGGCGCTGGGGTGGCGTGAGCGGGCAGCGAGCACAGGGCCCTGGGTGCGGTCTCGGCAGCGCTAAAGGCCGCGAGGAAGCAGTGACGAGTGCTGGCTTGTCCCTAGTGCCCCGCGGGCTCCCGAGGGCCAGCCCTTCATGCGGGCGGCAAGGCGGTGGGGGCGCGGGCCGCGGCCACACTTGGGGTGGTGGGGCTGCAGCACTGTCAGATTCTGGCCTCGGTTCTGAAGGGGGAGCCAGGCAGGTTCGGGCGCCAGGACTCGGGGTGGCTTCTGCCTTCAGGGACGTCAGCCAGGCTCCCGTCAGCCCGTGTGGCAGAGGTGGGGGTCTCTGGGCGACCGCGCGCCACACAGGAGGGTGTCTGGGCTGACCCCACAGGTTCAACCACTCGCCCCCCACGGGGCAAGCACTGTGGGGACAGGCGGGGAGGGCGGGCTGTCCACTCAGCCCATGGCCCTGTGACTCCTGGCAGGAAGCACACTGGGGAGAAACCCTTCGAGTGCCCCAAATGTGGGAAGTGTTACTTCCGGAAGGAGAATCTGCTGGAGCACGAAGCCCGGAACTGTGTGAACCGCACTGAGCAGGTACCCACGGGCCGGCTCGGACCCTGCTGGCGGGCACGGGGCTTCTGTGCTGCCCTGGAGGGGCGCTGAGACCGCGACAGAACGAAACAGGGCCCCGGGCCCTCCCCAGCATGACAGGTGGGGACACAGCTCCCAGGAGCGGGACAGCCCGGGAGGCGGCCTTGGAGGCACCAGGGGCACACCCCGCGCCGGGCTCTGGGGGAAGGTGGCTCTGCAGAGAGGCCACCTGCTGCGCCTCCTCCCAGCTGGCCCGAGCCCCTTCTGCTAGAGCCTGCTGGGGGCGGGGCTCAGAGGAGGCCTGAGGGAGCCAGGCTGAGGCTGCTGTCCAGGCAGAGGCCCTGACCTGGCCCTCTGGCCCTCGCACTGCCAGGTCTTCACATGCTCCATGTGCCAGGAGACCTTCCGCCGGCGGACGGAGCTGCGCGTGCACATGGTGTCCCACACGGGGGAGATGCCCTACAAGGTCAGGCTCGCCGTCCCCGGCCACGGGTGGAGGCAGGTGCCTCCCTTGCCAGCCTTCCCTGCCCATCCGGAGCCCCCGCCCGTGGGCACCAGCGCTGGCTTTTCCTCCTCCGGAGGGCCAGGCCAGGTGCTCTGCTCCCAGTGTGCCCCAGACCTGGGCCTCTGGCCAGGCCCTGCCCTCAGACTGCCGGCCTGAAGCCCGGGTGCCCGGTGACCGGCGCCCCACGGGTGCAGGCCGCCTCTGAGGTGCCCCCGCCGCTTTGCAGTGCTCCTCCTGCTCGCAGCAGTTCATGCAGAAGAAGGACTTGCAGAGCCACATGATCAAGCTGCACGGGGCCCCCAAGCCGCACGCCGTAAGTGCCGCCGGCGGGGCTGCGGGCCTTTGGGGCGGCGTGGGCCCCGCCCCACAGCATCTCCACGCCGCCCCCGCCCCCCGCCCGCAGTGCCCCACCTGTGCCAAGTGCTTCCTGTCCCGGACGGAGCTGCAGCTGCACGAGGCCTTCAAGCACCGCGGGGAGAAGCTGTTCGTGTGCGAGGAGTGCGGGCACCGGGCCTCGAGCCGCAACGGCCTGCAGATGCACATCAAGGCCAAGCACAGGTGGGCCGGGGCGGGGCAGCGGCGGGCCCGGCCAGGCCACTCCGTGCAGTCCGGCCCGGCCCGCGTCCAGGAGGCCGGCTCTGGCCTCGCCGGGGCCCCGCCCTGAGCACCGCCGCGCCCCTGCGCCACAGGAACGAGCGGCCGTACGTCTGCGAGTTCTGCAGCCACGCGTTCACCCAGAAGGCCAACCTCAACATGCACCTGCGCACACACACGGGCGAGAAGCCCTTCCAGTGCCACCTCTGTGGCAAGACCTTCCGCACCCAAGGTGAGGCGCCCGACCCCCCCGGCCGCCGGCCCGTGGCCCCGGGCTCACCCCTCGCCCCCCCACAGCCAGCCTGGACAAGCACAACCGCACCCACACGGGCGAGAGGCCCTTCAGCTGCGAGTTCTGCCAGCAGCGCTTCACGGAGAAGGGGCCGCTGCTGCGGCACGTGGCCAGCCGCCACCAGGAGGGCCGGCCCCACTTCTGCCAGATCTGCGGGAAGACCTTCAAGGGTAGGGCTGGGCGGCGAGCGGCGCCTCGCCTCGCGGCAGGACTTTCCCTGGGGTCCCCCCACCCCCGTCCGTCTCCCCCCAGTCGGCCCGCAGCCGCTCTGGCCAGCGGGCGCGCAGGTCCGGCGCGGCGGTGGCCTTGGGGCGCCGCTGAGCCCGGCCCCTCCCGCAGCGGTCGAGCAGCTGCGCGTGCACGTGCGGAGGCACAAGGGGGTGCGGAAGTTCGAGTGCTCCGAGTGCGGCTACAAGTTCACCCGCCAGGTAGGTGCAGGTAGGTCCGGCGCGCCCGCCCCCCGCCCGCCCCGGCCCCGCCTGACCCCGCTGCCCCCAGGCCCACCTCCGGAGGCACATGGAGATCCACGACCGGGTGGAGAACTACAGCCCGCGGCAGCGCAAGCTCCGGAACCTGGTCATCGAGGACGAGAAGGCCGCGGCCGCGGCGCTGCAGCCGCCCGCCGAGCTGGAGGCCGGCTCGGCCGGCGTCATCGTGGAGTCGCTGGCCCAGGGCGGCCTGGCCACCCAGGGCAGCCTGGCCGCCCAGCTCGCGGGCCAGAGGCTGTGCGCGGAGGAGGGCTTTGCGGGCCCGGGGGTCATGGAGCCCCCCCTCATCATCACTGCCTCGGTCCCCGAAGACTGTGACACGTAGCCGCCCGCCCAGCGTGCTTCGACCCCAATAAACCACGTGCTTGGACTCGATCTTCAGCCCCCGGTGCTCTGTTCCCGGTGGCCTGCCCAGGGCTGTGCTGCTCCGTGGCCTCGGGGGAAGCCCCCCGACCCCCGCCCCCTGCCCGTCGGTTTGGCTAGCAGCTTCTCTTCCTCGCCAGAGACCCGGGAGCGACAATGACCCGAAGCTCTGGGGGTGGGAAACGTACCCCGAGGGCCGGACACGCCCGCCGCGGATCCCCTGCTCCTATAGTTTCGGCTGAGCGCCGAGGCCCAGTGATGCCAGCGTGGGCAGTGGGCCGAGGAGGGGCGAGGCTAGCGGCTCACCGGACCTGGTGGCCCAGAGGGCTTTCCCTGGGGAGGCACTGCGTGCTCTGGGGTGCAGGCCACGCCAGCCCAGGATGCTGAGAGGCCTGGGTGGTCCCCGGGTGCCTAGATGCTGGAGTGGGGTGCAGCTGGGCCACGGCAGGGGGCAGGTGGTCAGCGCCTCTTGCCCTGCCTTGCCAGCTCCCTTCCTGGTGGCGCCAGGCCCAGGCGCGGCTGCTGGCTTCCCCTGGCTGCCTGGAGCGTCTGCCCTGGAGACACCGTTGGCACTGGCCCTGGCTGGGTTCTGGGCGGCCGGTGCCAAGGGACCGCCCCAACAGAAGACCACAGTTGGGGGGGTCTTTGGACACCTGTGACCTCGGAAGTCAGTCCCCCACCACACTGTTGGTCCAGGCAGGGCCCCGGGACACTGCTGCTGGGTGGGCGGGCAACAAAGCCTGCAGGCCGTGGCTGCCTGGAGTGGGCCCCGAGGTACCCCGGGATTGGTGCGCAGGACCCCAAGACTTAGTCCCGTCACCGGAGGACGCCGCAGCGCCCACACGCTGGGCCAGTCCCGTGGGCAGCTCAGGGCAGGGCCGGGTTGGTTAACCCACCTTGTGTCGGCCGCCGCTGACTTCTGGGACGGGTTGAGGCGCACATTAAGCGCCCCCACCCCGGCGCACTCAGATGCTCAGTCTCTGTGCGCGGGGAGGGGTGGGGGGGCACCGAGGCCGCCTCTGGGGTGCAGCCCCTGCTGCTGGCACCCGCCCATCAGCCCACAGACCCCACTGCCCACCACCGCCGCTCCCGGGCCCGGCCCCGAGCGGTCCCAGAGACGCAGCGGCAGCCGCGAACGAAGGCAAGGACACAGCGTACAGCAACGGTTTATTCCAACAGGGAATAAGGCACCTGAGGCCTCAGACAGGGCTCTGGCCACGCACAGCCACAGGACAGACAATAAATACGCAATCGGCCCCGGCGCCGGGGCGGAACTGGGTGTGGACACTGGAAGGGGGTGTCCTAGGGGACGCAGGCGTCTGGGTCACATAAATAACAGCATTAAATACTCAAATCACTGACTTCTCATAACTTAACGTGTCCCGGAGGCGACACGGCTCCCTGGCCCAGTGGCCCGGCAGGGGCGTTTCAGCGCGGGGGTGGGGGGGCGTCCCAGGGCTGCAGGTTTCCCAAGAGGGGTCCCTGTCCTGGACCCTGCTGGAGGCCCTGCTGTTGCCAAGGCGACCGCCTCCCTCTCCACCTGGGGGACAGGATCCCGCGGGGCGAGAACACGGGTGCAAACCCCCCTGCTCTCGATCGCTGGCCGCACCTGGCCAGCTGCCAGGGGGATGGTCAGCCCTGAAAACCCCCTGAACAGAGAAAGCAGCAGCCCTGGACACAGGGTCGGCTGCCCCGAGGGACCTCTGCACCGGAGCCCCTCAAAGGCCTGAGCCCTGCAGCACCTGGGCCGGGGACCAAACTGAGGGTCACGGCGCTCGAGAGGAGAACGCGCACAACCCCCCTCCCCCAACAAAGTGGAGTGAGCGGCTCAGCCCCGCGCACCCCAGAACCCTTGGGCAGAGGGACGCGAGCCCAGGCCCAGGTTGGGCCCTGGGAAACAGGTGGACGGTGGAGTCCTGCGGAGGCCGGGGCCGGGCACCACGAGGTGCTCGCCAACTGCACGGCAGGGCGCCCGGTGGGCGTCCCCGAGGCTGGGAGCCGGAGGCCTGGCCAGACGGTGACGTAAGGGCCCCAGGGCAGCGGGTGAGCGGGAGGACCACCCCGCCGCCCAGGGAGCCTTCCCAGAGCCACCCGCGCCGCCAGCGAGGGCCTCAGTGCGAGGCCCAGCGCCCTGCCGGGAACACACCCCCAAGTGAGCTCACCAGAAGGCAGCGCTGCAACATTTGCTTTCAATTTACGCAATGAGGAAAGCGCCCTCCTCCTGGGAGGGGAGGCCACACTGACGCAGAGGCTGCTTGCCGCCCGTGCGCAGGAGACCACCAGAGCCACGGAAACGCCAGGGCCTCCCGGCCAGCACCGGAGGCCTCCGAGGCTCCCGGCGCGGCCGCCGTCCCGGGCTGCACCACCGCGGGCA